GGTACACGGCCCTTCGAGAGCACTGGAACCAATGCAGTAGTGCATGGGTTCGCCCATGCCTAGAAGCCTTTACACGCACAGGGAAACCTGTGGCCGTGCGTTTTGCCGTAGCACCGAGAGTACAAAACTGCTCGGGAGTGGCAAACGTCACCATAATACCTGGAGTACAAAACTGCCCGGGAGTGGTGACCCTTACCATAGCACCGAGAGCCCAAGCTACTCGGGAGAGGTAAGAACCAGACACAGATGAGCTAGCTCGTACTGTGGCCGGAAGGCTGTCTGCGAGATCAGTAGCGATCGAAGGAGATTCGTGGGCATGCCACAGGATTTGGAAATACTCAGCGCGTTGGGGATCCGTTAGAAGAAAAAAAGGAATCGTGACGGTTCGGTACGAGAGATCGATACGCAGCGCGAAATCGCGGCTGGTGCCGGGCCAATTAGACGCGAGAGTGGCTCTAATTGGTGCGTGCATATTTTCCGATCGGCACTCTTGGAGGTCCGCGCTAAAAAACCAGGAGGCCCTCCAAAAAGTGCGAATGCATGCATGTCACACGTCACGCGAGGAAAACCCGTGTAACTTTGTTCACCGAAAGCTGTAATAAAAAGAGTCACCTTGTGGTGTTTGCACGCATCAATGATAGTCTTCGTTACCGTACAAAGGTATCGTTCCACAGCTCACCTCGTTGTTAAATGTACTTCGATGTCTTCCGCATTCTAATGCGGAATCGGAAAGAATTTTCTCTGTGTTGCCTGACGTGAAAAATAGAAAGAGAAATAAGGTAAGCAACGATTTACTAAATTCTATATGTGTAGTGCGCACAGCGCTCAAAGCTAGAAAGGAATGCAGTTGCACAATGTTTGTTAACGACAGGCATGTAGAATTGATGGTAGTGTAACGTCCCGGAATTATTATCGCGAGTACGCTACTGCACCGACTACGTAGGGAGAGCGGTTCCCTATAAGAAGGCGTCTCGTAAATAATTATATAATGAAGGGATCATAGGTTCGGGTGGTGCGCGGTAAAGGAGTGAAATCCAACGTTAATTCCTTTCTCAAAAATCGTAATGAGTGTTTATTCAAGAAAGTTGTGTGTTGTGTTTGTTTATAATATGTATATAAAAAGAAAAGGTAAGTAATTATTTGAGTTATATAAAAAGGTGATGAAAATAATATAAAGAATTAATGTAATCAGTGTACAAATGTTGCGCCCTGTTCTTGAAATACAAAAGGAAAATAATTATATTAGTTAAGTACAGTGAGTGCGCCCTGTATAAAAAATTACAAAGAAAAATAACAAAATAGTTTGACCTAAAATAAAATACAAAGAAAAAATTTAATTGATTAGTGAACGCGTCTCTAGATACGATTATGAAAATTCTAAATCTATAACTTGAATTTATAAAATAAAATTTATTCAAATAAATTGTTCGATTGTCGGGGAGTTGGCGTGGATCCATTCCGACACTGTAGGAGCTAACCCGTTCGGCCGCAGTACGATTTCTGAGCAACTTAGCCGTCACTGATAGGCCGCATCCAAGGAGCTTCTGCTTTCGCTCGCTCGTTAAGCTTGGTTGCGAACACTGCAGGATGGTATCGTCGCTCTAGAGCCAGTGTACTAATAGGCCGCATCCAAGGAGCTTCGGCTTTCGCTCGCTCGTTAAGCTTGGTAGCGAACCTGACACATGTGAGAACCGCTGCGAACCGGTGGTCGAGCGCTCCGGGTCTGACGCAGAACCTTTGCCGCCTTGCCGACAAAAGAATCTAAGCTACTGGAAACCTATGTAGTAATCGTATCCGTGTCGGACTACGATCAGAATCGAAGTGAAATAGCTCCTCGCGGCACGCTCGTATTTATACCCGAGATTTGCTTACGTAGCAGTTTTTTCTACACGCGTTTTCGATACCGGAAGTGTTTGGACTTTGACCGGAGTGTACGTGACTCCGCGCGTATCGCTGTCTCTGTCTATGCGTAGTGCTATCTTTCTTTATTCTGCGCTCTATTCCTACCTCTTTCTACGTGTTATTCCTATCTCTATCTATGTGTCCTACGTCGATCTTTTATCGACGCGGTAATTATCGATGTATATTTTTGAGTATAAATTTTGTTAAGTATAAATATAATTAAATACAACATTCTTTTCCTATTTGTTAAATATGAATATAATTGTCAAGCTGAATCATGTTAATACAATAATAATAAAAAAAACGAAGTGTTATAACTTTGATTGTATAAAAACTAAAAAAAAAAAAAATAAATATATATATTTTAATAATTAATAATGATGGCTTTTTATTTATTCTTCTTCCTGCGGGATGTTACAGCCTTCCCCCTGTGTTGGTCTCTTGCCCTCAAGAGACTTTTTTGCTTGCTGTTCCTGGCAAGTCTGGCATTGACATTTTCCTTCGTCGTTTCGGGGGGATGCGGCCAATTTCCCAAAATATTTAATGATTTTTGCGTGTTTTCTTCTTGGATCCGTTCTGCTTAATTTCTTGAAGGTTTTCCAATTTAATTCCGGAATGTCGATGGGGGTTAACCTCCATGGTGTACTCTCTGTTTGTATAGGATGCTGTTTTGGAGCCTTTGAAGATATTTGGAGTAATTAGTAAATTATTAAATTACGGAAAAGAAATATACCTGTACCTCCTTGAGTTTCCTTAAGGCTTTCCTTAAGCGTTTTAATTGCTGGCGTTTGCCGGCACGTCTAACCATGTTTGCAATTAGAATTTTTCGAAAATAAATATGGCGTTTGCGTAGGTGGCGCTTTACGTCTTCTTTCTTTCTTTATCATTCTTTCTCTGTCTTTCCTCTTTTGGGAAAGACCATAATGGCGGTTAAGGGTTCGATGAATAAAATGTTTTTATAAGAATGACCATTGAGGTTTATTTTTGTTTCCTTTTTAGGGATTTACATAGAATTATAAAAAATGTTATTGGCGAAGTTCGTTTAGATAAAATATGTTGGGATTTGTAGTAGATGGAAGTAGAGCTCCTTCTACGAATGCTTCTCGAGTGTCTTCATCCATGTTGTTAAAAAATTGATGACATGATGTGCATGCTATTGCTGTCTGTATTCCTGCATAGTTTCGACCGCAGGTTATGCAATAAATATGTTTAATTGCATGTTCCTTCTTAATGAAGTGGTGATTGCCTAGATGTACCCATTGTTTTTTTGCTTCTGTGTGTGTTTTTTTTGCACATTGAAAACATAATCTTCCTGACTGGAAGTGGAAGGTATGTTGAAAGGCTGGTACGAGATCTTTTATGCATAAAGCATCAATGGCTGACATTTGCTGGTTCATTTTTCTGAATGTAGATAATATTGTGTTATAAAATGATAAATTTATTTTAATTATTTATGCTTACTCTTTGTTGTAATTTCCCCTTTTTCCTTCTGAAATTCTGTTTCGTTGAATTATTATTATTTTTTCTTTGCGAAAAAATTTTTGTTCTGTAACACACTTGTGGTTGTTTCCGCACAGTAGTGTTCTTTATGAGGTGCTTCCACTTGCTTCCAACGGTTTTTTTTGGTTTTCGTTAATACGCATGCGCGTGTTCATGAATCTAGTGGATTTTTGCATCGATCTTCACGTTTGATCTATAATGTTGATTGGTAGATAGGGCCTCTTTAGCCTATCTTTGTGAACGATTCGCTTTTTATTGGGTCCTATTGCCAATTCTATGTTATTTGGTTCTATATTTCGAAGTATAGTGTATGGTCCAGTGTATTCCTTTTCAAATTTGTTTCTTCTAGCCTGGTTTAATAGCATAACTTTTTCACCTGTTTCATAGTTTATTGGTCGAATTTTTCTGTCGTAATAGTGTCTTTGTCTGTGTTTTTCATTTTCCAAATTTGATTTTGCTATTTCTCGTAAATTGTGCAGTGTTTGAATTAGTTTTTCGATATAATCAGGGTATGTTTTTAAATTATCAATCGGTTTAATACTTGATGGTTGACGAGCTTTTTTTCCGAAAACTAATTCATGTGGTGTGAATTTTGTTCCTTCGTGGATGCTGGTGTTATAGGAAAACATCGCTTGTGGTAACCATTCGTCCCAATGTTTTTCTTTTGAGATATAATGTTTTAAATATTTAATTAAAACATGATGACTTCTGTTCGAGCGAACTGTTTCCCCAATGTCTAACGCGACTGACTTCTGTCGTATTGCCATCCCTCTCTCATCGGCGCCCATCTCTCTCACGCCGTTGGCCAGCGGTGTGGGGCGAGGACGCCGGGAGGGAGAGGGAGAGGTGCGAGCCTGTCGTCGCTCTGAGACGGGGACCACTCTTGTCTCGCGAACGCTTTTCGGAGAATTCAAATCCGCAAATCTCTCCTTTTGCTCTTTTTCTGGCGCTTCGCACGAACCAAGTGCTTCGGCGAACCGCAATAACGCGGATTAATTCAGTGAATAGAGGATTGAAATATAAACTTGTTATTCCTAAGACTACCTGTTAATTTATTAAATACAACGAGTTTTTGCTAAAACTACGCAACACGTTGCTGTGGAGTTCATTGCTTCCGCTTTTCCAAGACTCCTGCGCTTCGGTAAACGCGATCCGGCACCTCGCTCATTTTCCTGCAGATTCCCAACCGCGGAAAATACGCCGCGGCGAAATTTAACGGAACAAACTGGTCCTTCGAGCCGGATCTGGTTAAACGAACAACGGTGCTTCGGGAAAATCGTGCAAGTGAACTCTGTGCTTCAAGTGCATCTGGCTTTTCTTCTTCACCTGTGGAGATCTTCTTCGGCGATCCAGATCAGCGAAAATCTCCAACCAGGAATCTGAAAAGAAGAGCCGATTGAAAACCGGTTACGTAACCATCCTTTGTTTCAACGGCAACGACCACGCTTTGTGACGTCACGCCGAGAGCCTAACGACTTTGGGTAAGTCAGCGCGACTAATATTTACCAACATTACGGTACGCGTTGAAAGGCTTAGAAGTACGGTCTCAGTGGTTCTCTATCGAAATATTAAATTAAATTTCGCCTTGAATTGCGATCATGACTACGTCCTTTTCGGATCTTCTGCGTGAACAAGAGGAAGTAGCGGGGTGGATACAAAGATTCTGGGCTAACGTATGCAAGTTAGGAAAGGACAAGCTGACGGGAGCGGTTTTAGAGCAGAGACAGGGTTTGCTCAACCGATACTGGGACACGTTCCTTAGCGGACACCGTAAATTGATGAGATGCAAGGAGGCGAGTTCTAGTTCATATGTCAAAGAGGACGCCTTTTCGGTCACAGAAGAAGCTTACCTCGACGCAGCCTCCATGATTTCCCATCACCTGAAAGAGTTGCCGTCCCCTTGCTCCTCGCATGTTCAACAGTCCAATATTGCGCCTCCGCCCCACCCGCAACTGCCTAAAATTGATTTGCCGAAATTTTCGGGCGATCCGTTACAATGGGAGAGCTTTCGCGACCTTTTTAAAAGTCTAGTCCATGACGTCAGCCACTTACCTGACGTACAGAAGCTACTCTATTTGAAGTCTAGTTTGACAGGTGAGGCCGCCGAGGTCATTCGGAATACGCCGATAACGGACTCCGGCTTCAGGGGAGCATGGGACGATCTGGAAGCCCGGTACGGTAACATTCGTCTGTTATCGTTTTCCCATCATCGAGCGCTCCTCTTGTGCCCACCAGCCCTGCAGCAGTCAGCTGGCGAATTGAAGCGGCTTTTAGACACTTTCCGCCAGGCGATTAGGGCGTACGTTACACTGAGGAAACCCGTTACTTCATGGGATGAGTGGTTTGTATACTTACTAAGCCAAAAGCTTGACAAAACTACTCACCTTGCTTGGGAGACTTCTTTGGCGGATAGCCGGGAATTCCCGCGGTTCCAGCAATTATCGCAGTTCTTGGAGAACCGGATCCAAGCTTTAGGCGCTGCAGGCATGACGGACCCATCACTCCACGCTGTGTCGCCGACCAGCTCAAAGGAAATCAAACCTAAAACAAAAGGAGGAGCATCAGCAAAAGGCGTTAACTCTAACGTCTTAGCCGCAGCATCAAAGTCGCCCCCGGCCCGGAAATGTCCGGGGTGTTCGGGCACCCACGGTCTAGGATTTTGTTATAAATTCAAGGCGCTGTCGCCGGCAAAACGCAAGGAGCGCGTCCAACAGCTGAAGGCCTGCCTGAGCTGTTTGAATGTAGGACACGAAGTGGGTAAGTGTCCGTCTAAACAAGTCTGTTTAGCTTGTAGCAAGCGACACCATACGTTACTGCACGAGGCGCTGACGGCTCCACCGGCAAGCGCACCAGGCCGTGAAGGCGGACAGCCGGCACGAGAAGACGCTGCCTCGACGTCTGACGACGCAACTCAGCAGGTGACTACCCTCTCTCTATCGGTTGGCTCAAAAGCCGTGGCCTTACTCGCAACCGCCAAGGTGAGATTGGAGGCGCCATCAGGAGAAACCGTAGAGGTCCGAGCCCTTCTGGACACCGGCTCCGATACCTCTCTCGTCTCATCGTGGGTCGCTCAGGCGCTACGTCTTCCACGGCGGGCGGTGCGAGTGGCCATCTCAGGCGTTAAGGACAATGAGGTTGGACACGCGACCGGAGAGGTATCACTTGTAGTTCGACCCCGACACACCTCGGACTTCCGATTACCAGTTCGTGCGTTGGTACTCCGCAAACTAACGTCGTTGCTCCCGAGCAAACGCATCGTGGCAAAGTCTTGGCCGCATATTACCGGTCTCACGCTTGCTGACCCCGAGTACGGAGTTCCGGCTCGGGTAGATTTACTTTTAGGTGCGGATGTTTGCGGAACGCTCTTTGGTGACGACTCGCGCAGAGGGCCAGAGGGTACTCCAACAGCGAAACTCACCCCCTTTGGCTGGGTGCTTATGGGACCAGCCTCCGACGACAAACCCAAGGCGGAGACGGCCGCTCGGGTTCTTCACTGCCACGGCGAGGACTCCACAAGCCAACTCCTCCAGCGGTTCTGGGAGCTGGACGAGATTCGAGAACGGGCTCCAATGTCACAAGAAGAGGAAAAGTGTGAGCGTCACTTCCTTGACACCCATGCTCGAGATCCATCGGGACGCTACGTGGTGCGCCTTCCCTTCGTAAAGGACCCGCGGACTGCGCTGAAGTCCAACAGGACGACGGCGTTGAAACTCCTCTTCAATTGTGAACGACGCCTATCCTCGGATGCTACGCTGAAAGAGCAGTATCGAAATTTTATGATGGAGTACCTGACTTTACAGCACATGCAGGGTGCACCCGAAGAAGCGGATAAAGGGCCTGCGTATTACCTGCCACACCACGCCGTACGCAAGCGTCACGATCCTTCTGCCAAGTTACGGGTCGTTTTTAATGCTTCTTTTTGTACAGCCACGGGCCAATCGCTAAACGACTGCCTCGCCACTGGTCAGAAGCTCCAGGCTGACCTGTGGATGGTATTGACCCGCTGGCGACTTTTTCGGGTCGTATTCACCACGGACATTGTCAAGATGTTCAGACAGATCCGAGTCCATTCAGAGGATACTAAGTGGCAAAGCATCCTTTGGCGCGCCACTCCCGACGAACGAGTGCAGGACTTTCGGCTTACAACGGTGACGTATGGCACGGCGTGTGCGCCTTTCCTAGCTTTACGGGTACTTGCCCAGCTGGCGAACGACGAAAGCAGCCGATTTCCCCGAGGAGCTTCGGTGGTGCGTCGACATACTTATGTCGATGATATTCTCACCGGGGCGGATGATGTCAGCGAGACCCTGGCTTTGAAAAGAGAAGTGGTGGCAATTTTCAAAGCTGGCGGTTTCGAACTAAGCAAATGGGCATCTAACATAACGGAAATTCAAGAAGCCGACTCTTCTAATACGCGCCTGTTTCAGGAATGGTCCGGCATCAGCACACTAGGCGTGAACTGGAATCCTAGGGATGATGCCTTCTCCCTTCGAGTCGCAGCCGCTGAGCTGGTGAGAGAATGCACCACCAAGAGGTCTATCCTTTCGGAAATCGCAGGCCTCTTCGACCCACTGGGCTGGGCGGCGCCGGTCCTAGTCGTGGCCAAGATTTTAATGCAGGACCTCTGGATCCTTGGAGCGGACTGAGATCAGCAATTGCCAGAGAACGTCTGCACTATGTGGCAGCGCTTCAGAGGCTCCCTGCCGCAATTGGATACCCTGAAGATCCCACGCTGGACATTTGCCTCATCAGAGCCGTCCACCCAGATGGAACTTCACGGTTTTTGTGACGCCTCGCAGCGAGCTTATGCGGCAGCGGTGTACCTGCGGGTCAATAACAATGGGTCGGTAACGACCTCGCTTTTGGTCGCAAAAACTAAGGTGGCCCCGGTAAAGACTATAACAATTCCGAAGTTGGAACTGTGTGGAGCCACCTTGTTATCTAAATTATTGATTCGGGTCAAAGAAGGCATTAATATGTCTGGCCCGACCATCGCGTGGACGGATTCAAGTGTAACCTTACACTGGATCCGCGGCCATGCATCTCAATGGAAACCCTTCGTTGCCCATCGAGTCTCCGATATCCAGCATGAGATACCGGCGGACAATTGGCGGCACATCCGCTCTCCGGACAATCCAGCGGACTTGGCAACCCGAGGAATGAGCCCAGCCGAGCTCGTCGACTCCGATATCTGGTGGCACGGGCCGAAATGGTTGACGGAACAGCCTGAATTCTGGCCGGCGACCTTTCCGGAGTCCAACGAGGGAATAGAGGCAGAGAGAAGAGGAGCCACGGTACACGTCGTCAAGGAGAAATTCGGAGAAAACTTCCTGTGCCGCTTCTCCTCCCTCTCGCACCTTTTATCTGTTATTGCCCAGTGTTTCAGGTTTGCCAGTCTAAGCCGAGGGCAGCCTTGCGAGAAGGGTTTTGTTAAAGCAGCGGAGCGCACCCACGCCTTCCTAGCAGTTCTGAGATTCTCTCAACACACCAGTTTCCTGGAGGAGATTGAACAACTGCAACGGCACGGCGAGCTACGCAAAGCTTCACCCCTTTCTTCGTGTCGACCTTTCTTAGACGACCAGGGCTTACTAAGGCTCGGAGGGCGCTTAGAAAACGCGGCTCTGCCGTACAATGAGAAACATCCTTACCTTGTGGCGAAGAGATGTCCGTTGGCCAGGCTTCTGATACGGGACGCACATTACCGCACGCTCCATGGAGGTCCACAGCTAACTCGCAGCCATCTCATGAGAAGAGTCTGGATCGTCCGAGGCCGCTCACTGGTTCGATCCGAAATCGCCGCCTGCGTCACGTGCGCCCGGTTCAGCGGACGTAGAGCTGGACAACTGATGGGACAACTTCCACAAGAGCGCACTGCAGCACAGAGGGCCTTTTTAACCACCGGCGTGGATTATGCGGGCCCGATTAAGCTACGTACCTCGCCCGGGCGTGGCCACAAAGCCTACAAAGGCTACATCGCCCTCTTCGTGTGCCTGTCTACCAGGGCAATACATTTGGAAGCGGTGTCAGATCTAACCTCAGCTTCCTTTCTTGCAGCCTTCCGTCGCTTTGTGGGCAGGCGAGGACATTGCGCCACTCTGTTTAGCGACAATGGAACGGTATTCCAGGGAGCAGACAGAGAGCTCCGCGCTATGTTCCGCCAGTCTACTTTATTCTACCAGGAGGCAGCCGCATCCCTGGCATTAGACGGCACCAGCTGGCAGTTCATTCCCCCTTATGCGCCGCATTTTGGTGGCCTGTGGGAGGCAGGGGTAAAATCCGTAAAGCACCATCTACGGAGAGTGATCGGTGATTCCACACTTACCTTCGAGGAACTGACGACTCTCCTCTGTCAAATAGAGGCGTGCCTAAACTCGAGGCCACTGTACGCACTATCAGAGGACCCTTCGGAGCTGGCCGCCTTGACACCGGGTCACTTCTTGATAGGGGAACCAACCACCGTCCCCCCAGAGCCAGAAGAACCATGCACTGCACTTCACACACGCTGGCGGTTAATCTCACAAATGCGAGCACAATTCTGGAAAAGATGGAGACGCGAATACTTACAGCATCTCCAACAGTTTCCGAAGTGGCGTCGTTACCGGGAGAATTTGGAAATCGGCAGCCTGGCGCTTATCCGGGACGACTTACAGCCACCAGCAAAGTGGTTGATGGGACGCGTCACCGAACTACACCCAGGACCTGATGGATGCGTTAGAGTGGTAACTCTACGCACTGAAAAGGGCACTGTTAAGAGGCCAATCGTCAAGCTGTGCCCCTTACCAGTATCGCCAACCGACGCCTCTTAGCATCGATACCAGCTAAGATACTTTAACTTTAACTTCCTTTTTCTTTTTCTCTTTGTAAACTACGACCGAAATTTTCCGCGTAATTCTTTTTGCTTTACTTTGGTTGGTCTAGTTTACTATTCTAATTGCTATTTGTTATTTTATATTTACTCTTTATTCACTTTGCTTTACTTGATTGCTTTGTATTAAAATTATTATTAATTAGTTTACCTTTGTAACTAGCGTGTAAGCACTCATGGTTTGTACTAGTAAAACTCTAGAGGTTATTTGCCTTGATTCACGTCAACCATTCTTCGTATCACCGAAGAAGGCGGGCGGTATGTTCGAGCGAACTGTTTCCCCAATGTCTAACGCGACTGACTTCTGTCGTATTGCCATCCCTCTCTCATCGGCGCCCATCTCTCTCACGCCGTTGGCCAGCGGTGTGGGGCGAGGACGCCGGGAGGGAGAGGGAGAGGTGCGAGCCTGTCGTCGCTCTGAGACGGGGACCACTCTTGTCTCGCGAACGCTTTTCGGAGAATTCAAATCCGCAAATCTCTCCTTTTGCTCTTTTTCTGGCGCTTCGCACGAACCAAGTGCTTCGGCGAACCGCAATAACGCGGATTAATTCAGTGAATAGAGGATTGAAATATAAACTTGTTATTCCTAAGACTACCTGTTAATTTATTAAATACAACGAGTTTTTGCTAAAACTACGCAACACGTTGCTGTGGAGTTCATTGCTTCCGCTTTTCCAAGACTCCTGCGCTTCGGTAAACGCGATCCGGCACCTCGCTCATTTTCCTGCAGATTCCCAACCGCGGAAAATACGCCGCGGCGAAATTTAACGGAACACTTCTTTCTAGTGATCCATTTGATTGTGGATGGAATGAAGATGTTCTGTATGTTTTGATTTGGAATGCTTTAGCTAATTTCTTCATTAATGATCCTGTGAAACATGTACCCTGGTCTGTAAGTATAGCTTTTGGACTTCCAAATTTGCATATAAAATGTTCTGTAAAAGCTTTTGCTACTTCTTCAGATGTAGTTGATATTAAGGGTATTGCAGCTGAGTATTTGGTCAAGTTATCCTGAATAATAAGTATATAGCTGTTTCCTGTTGTACTTATTGGCAATGGTCCTAAAATATCTAAAGATACTTTGTCCAATGCATCAATAGGGGTATCAGTGATGACCATTGGTTCTTTGTTTTTCATTCTTACTAGTTTCACTTTTTGACAGCTAATGCAGGTTCTAATATAATCAGTGATTTCCTTTTTCATGTTCTTCCAATAATAGTTATTTCTGATTCTATGGTAAGTCTTTTTTATCCCTTTATGTCCTCCTACTGGGCTTTCATGGTTTTCTCTAATGATATGTATTCTTTCTTCTTTAGGTGGTGTGACTATGGTTCCTTTACAGAGTGTGATAGAGATGTTTGAGTCTGTAAAAATTACTTGTAGGAGTTTATGTAATCCTTTTAGTTCAGGTATAGAACATTCTTGAATTTTCCTCTTATAGAATTCTTGGTAAAGTGTTTTAGTGTTTTAGGTAAGACTTCTCTTGAATGTGTTACTAGGCCAAATATTTCTTTGTTCTTCTTTTTTAGATGTATAATGGTTTCTTGCTGATGAGGTATATGTATTCTTATTTTTTCCTTTTGTAAAAATTCTTTTGATTGATTGTCTATTGGTTTTCCTTCTTCATTTAGGAATACAATCACAATTCCTTTCTTCATCTAGAGGTGGTCAGTTGTCTCTATTATCTTGGATGTGACTGGTAGGTTGCTGATCACTCTTGGTTGTGTTATTTTATGAGTGGTAAGTTGATCCTCTTCTTTTATAATTTTAATAGGAGTTATTGGTGCTGTGGATGTACTTTCTGAATCATTTTTCTCCTCTTTTTTCAGCTCTGAAAATTCTTCTTTGGTTTCTAAAGATGTCTTTTTTGTCCCTGAAGATGCCTTTTTTATTTCTGAAGATGTTCTTTCTGTTTCTGAGGATGCTTTTTTTGTTCCTGAAGATGAACCTATTTTGGGTGGGTCTCTATATATGTGTTTGGGTAAAGTCATTCCTTCTTCAAAGACTTCAATTTCGTCACCAATTATTATTGGTTCATGTTTCCTTTTGATTGGTTTAGGAGGTTCATAAATCAGCTTTTTTGGTGATTGATGAATTTCTACTGTAACTTGTTTTTCATTTTGTCTTCTCTATTTGAATTGTTTGTTTGCAGAGCTTGATGTTTCCTTTTTCCTCTTCCTGAGTTGTTGGTCTTGAAATTCGTCAGTATCGCAATATTCTGATTCACTGGAGGTTGTGTTTTCTTTAAAGCGTTTCTTATTTGTTTGATGTAGACTGCTGCTTGTTTCATGTGGTCTCTTATAGTGTTGTGTAATTTTTTCTTTCTTTATTTCTCTCTCAGAATCAGAGGAAGTATCTAGCTGTCGTGTAGGATGTGTTGTTTTTCTTCTTACAATACTTCTTTCGGATTCAGAGGAAGTATCTCTTTGTCGTGTGGTGTGTTGATGCGACTGTTTTTTCCTTTTTGTTTTTCTGTTTAGTTCTGAAGATGTATCTCAGCGTCTTGTTGGATACTGATGGGTTTCCTTTTTCTTTTTGATTTCTCTGGAGCTTGATGACGTAGTTGGTCTTCGTCTTGTAGGGTGTTGGTGGGTTTCCTTTTTTCCTTTATATTCCCTAGAATCGGATGTTGTCGATGGTCTAGGACGTGTAGGGTACTGGTGCGTTTCTTTTTTCTTCTTGTGCTCCCTAGAATCGGTTGTCGTCGATGGTCTAGGACGTGTTGGATATTGGTGCCATTCTTTTTTTCTTTTTGTTATTTTTTTGGATCCTGTGGTTGAT